CCAAAACGACCTTTACCAATAGACATTTTAAGGAAAAGAGAAATAATACTATCATTCATTCAACCTTATATGGGCCCCTTCACAATTCCAGGTCCTATTTATCTGCCCATGTTCTCTAATCACCACCGTCCCTATCCTTTCTAGTGAGTGTGCAGTCTACTCGTAGTCTCAGCCGTCATGTAACGCTGCAGAGGGCTCATCACTGGGACTTTCGGTGCACCCTGTTTCCCTGTCTTTTTTCGGTTCATCTTGACATATGGGTGCCGCCGAACAATCACCGAAAAATCGCCGAAAAATCACCGCTAATTTTTCGGTCAGAAGTCGTCTGGCTGTGGATCAATCTCGGTGTATGTTGGCCGTAGTCAAACGAATGGCGTGCGGGCGGGTGGCGTGCTGCTGCTGCTGCTCACATCAGACGGTCTCAGCAGCCATTAGACTCCGGACACGCCCCCCCCTCGTCATCCGATCACCTGACCATCCCTCCGACCAGACTCTGACTCTGTCAAGGTCTAATGGGATTCCTAGTTCTTTTTCTTTTAACCCCTTTGCTGCCACGGTCATACAGCATGCAGATAAAGGAGCTGGGACCTTGTGCAGCCCACACAAGTTGACTTGTTGGCTTTGTGTTAGTACAGGTTTCTTTTAGGGCCCATTCACACCACATCCAGATTGTTTCCGGACCCAAAATGCTATCCCTATGCTATTTCTGGCCTCTGTTCACACCAACGCTGTGAACAACGTCTGTTCCAGACCAGAAAAATACTGCACGTCTCATTTTGTCTGGTCTGGAATGCACTGGAACTGCAGGCAGGTTCACACCATTTTCTGGACAAGATCCGCTTCCCATCAACTGGCCAATTATCATAGGAAAAAACGATTTCGTTCGGAAATTGAACGATAATCGCAAGGGGTATGGGCACCTTTAGGCTATATTCACACTGTCACTCAATGCCAGTGTGGATGAGGCCTAAACACAGCTAAACCCACAAAAAGCCAAGTACATCTAAACACAAAAAAACTTGACCTGAGAAGCTACAAACATTTGTAAACTTTCCAGATAGTTTCTCCTGCCTTTAAATAACCTAAAGGCAGGATAAACTATCTGGAAAGTTTTTAAAAGTTTGTAGCTTCTCAGGTCAAGTTTTTTTGTGTTTAGATGTACTTGGCTTTTTGTGGGTTTAGCTGTGTTTAGGCCTCATGCACACTGGCATTGACAAACCTGAGTTTGGATGACATTTCTAAACACATATAAAAACATATAAGGGTTTTTTTTTAATGGAATCATTCAAACTGAGCGCTTACCTGTGTTCAGTTTAGGTGCATTCAGAGAAAACAGAATTCTGTGCATCCACGGTCTGATTATAGACTCTAAACTTCTGGAAATTCAGGTAAACGCATCTAGACCCACTAACGTAGGAGAAAGTGATCTGGGAAAGCATAAAGTGGGTTCATACATCACAGATGTTTAGAAAACCTAAATGCAGGAGAATCATCTCCCAACTGTCCCCCGTTTGGAACCAAATCCCTCCTGTTTGTCCCTCCTTTTGGTCTTATGTACAGATATCTATCAAAATGTTCTATTTAACTACCAAACATGTTATTCTGTACAGAAGAGCCCTGGGGCCATGCAAAAAATAAAAATAAACAAAATTCTGTGTTTAACCCCTTCATGACCCAGGCCTTTTTTTCATTTTTTGAACCCATGTTATATTCCACATTTTAGGCCTGAAAATTACTTAAAACTATTTTAAAAACTGTTTTTTTTTAAACTTTACTTTGACTGCTATCACATGGGGGGGGAGAGGGGTTACACTGGAAATAAGCTATTGAAGTGCAGATCGCACTTCAATAGCTTATAGCTGGGCTGCAGGAGCCCAGAACTGACAGCCCAGGGGCCGGAAGTGATGCAATCTGCATCGCTCCCGGTCCCATAGAATGGGGAGGGGATCGATGCTCCTCCCCAGCTCCCCGCGGACACCAAGGACGCCGGTCCCGGGCCCATAGGAGGGGCAACGGAGCCCGGGAAGTACGGCAGCGTTGTCCGGCTGGGGGCCGGGCCCTTCTTCGGGACACAGAAGCGATCTGGCGACAGGTAAGTCGCCAGAATCGCTTCTGTTGTAAAGCCGACAGTCGGCTCTACAAGTTTAAACAGACTCCCGGCGGCAAAAGTCCTGGGGAGTGTTTAAACAGCCCCGATGCTGGCGATGTACACTGTATGTCGTCAGTCACGAAGGGGTTAAAAGTCAGAATTCTGAGAGTGAAAGTCAGAATTCTGAGATTATAACACTGGTAGTAGCCTCTAAAGAGTGTTTTAATTATCTTGTTTTCTGTTTGGTAAATCCAGTAAAAGGAAAGGTAACAGTGAACAAAAACGATTCTGTGTTTAACCATTTTCGGCATATACATTCTTAATGATCCGCATAACTGGGGGGCATGGCAGGGGTGTGTCCATTGCCTAAATAGATTGGGCATAATTAATCAAAACTGGATCTGGAACAGTTGCCCATTGCAACCAATCAGCTTCTCTCTTTCATTTTCAAAGCATGACTGAAAAAAACTGAAAAGAGAAGCTGATTGATTACTACGGTAGGTGCACCCAGGGCTGGTCTTAGGCCTTTAGGCGCCCTGTGCGAAGAAAGCTTTACAGCGCCCCTCAGTGACCACACCCCTCAGTGGCCACACCCTTTAGTGGCCACACCCCCAGTAACCACACCCATTTATCACCCATATTTTTGGTAAAATATAAAAAGACGGGGTCACGTCGGGTAAATAGACACCAAACATGTCATGCTTTAAAATTGCGCGCACCCGCAAAATCGCAAAAAATTACCATGTAGCTGTGTCGGCCGCACGGCGCCCTTGTTGCCATGGCGCCCTGTGCGGCCGCACGGCGCCCTTGTTGCCATGGCGCCCTGTGCGGCCGCACTGCTCGCACACCCCTAAGGCCGGCCCTGGGTGCACCTGCTCCAGATTGTCTGGTCCAGTTTTGATAAATTCCCCCCACTGTGCTGGAAGGTGTCCCTCTTTCTCATCTCAGAAAGATCGGATGTATGACACAGGATTCCTACAGCTGGATTCATAGATGTACGTGAGCAGCTGTGGCGGGGAAGCCTGTACAAAGCAATGACAAGCATCACAGCTTTCCGCCATTATCGCATGTATCTGCACATCCAGCAGTTAGGGACAGACCAGCCCTAGACTCAATCTGTATGTGACAGATTGCAGATGACTGCTGGATGTGCGGAGCCAGCCGTGGTCTGTCATTGCTATGTACAGGCTTCCCAGGACGCAGCTTTCCGTGATCACCTTTGATTCCACTCACAAGAATTTGCTGTTCTGTGATTATAGGACATGAGAATGAGGCCTCAGGAGTTTCTAATCGCCACCTGGACACCCAGTTCTATTTTCTTAGCACCAAGCTGAACACATGGCTTGCTGGTGTGTGATGACAGTTACTGTGCTGATTGCTGACACAACACAGTTTACTTTTTTTTTGTTAGAACTTTATTGAAATATCTTGCTTGATATTTCATTCAATTCTATGGGTTGTACCACCTCACAATGAAAACAAATGCTGCATGCAGAACTTTGTTACGGTGCGCACCACCACAAGGTGGCGTAAACTGAGCCTATCAAAGTAAGGCAATTGCCTTGTCTGTGCTTTGCGGTGTCATTCAAATGAACGGTCCCGCATGCTTGGAGGGCTGTGGAAAACCGTGCACTTAGTGTACTGAAGTGACTCCTATATTACAATTAGGAGTTCCATGGCACCAGTAGAGCAATTACACAGTCGGACTCGGAGTCTAATGACAGGATTCCCATGATCCCTCACTCTCTACACTCAGCGCTGTGTCCTCCGACTGCTATGACCACATCCTGTTTGTGCCCCGCCCCTCTCCTGCTGCTCCGCCACGTCAGGCCAGCGCTGCCCTCCCTATCCCATCCCGGTACACAGCGGTAAGTGGTCGGCTCGGAGCTGCTCCGGGGTAATGCTGACAGAAGGGAGGGGGATGTCCTCTGTTATCAATGAATGACATGTCTGTGTTGTTTGCAGGGGGCTGAAGGATGGAGACTCTATACCGAATACCGTTCACTGTGCTGGAATGTCCCAACCTGAAGCTGAAGAAGCCTTCCTGGCTCCATATGCCCTCAGCCATGACGGTGTACGCCGTGGTGGTGGTCTCCTACTTCCTCATCACTGGAGGTGAGTGCACATCTGTACTGACTCCTGTATAGGTTGGTGTACACAGTGCTGCAGAATGGACGTCTGATGTCACGCAATGAAGACTACACCAGTCATAAACATTGCTTCATATAGAGAGGTCTTCATATGTAGGTGACAGTGTTGTCTCCCCATAGTACACAATCAGGCAACATATTCCCACAGTGTCCTGTAGGTATAGGTGGAAGGCTTATTATAGGGCCCAGTACAGACCATTATCTCCCCGCTGTCATAGCCAGACACTGAGTGAAAAATAGAGATTTATATTCGGCTTCACATCTTCTAATGATAGAGGGTGATGATGACAAGGAGTTTATTACCACAGCAATGTGTGTTCTGATCCGAGTCCTTACTATAAAGGGGTGACTACACCCTAACAGATAACTAAAGCCTTACCTTTTTGTTTTGGCTTTAGATCTTTATTTTTCTAATGTCCTCCTGTGACCCAAAGTCAGCATATAGAGGGCTACTGCCTGCTATTTGCTGACAGCACAGTCAGGATCCATCCCAGCTCTGTAGCTGGGATGGATCCTGACAATATTTTTGGGATCCACCCTGCTGCCTGATTGACAGCTGGCTCTGCCTCTCTAGAACCAGAGCTGGCTGAGCCCGCCCCCTCCCCTGCCTGTCCCTCCAACGAATGCTGGAGAAATGGGGGGAAATACCTGCAGGGACTTGTGACTGACAGTCATCACTCCCTGCCAGGAGAAGATTGTGAACTAGGTGATCAGCGGTATGTGATCGCTCAGTTCTCATGCTATAGAGCCGACAGTCAAAGTATTGCGAAGAGTACATTTTACTCTCCCAATAGTTCACCTTTAAAGTGGACCTGTGCGGTGCGATCAAAATAGTGCTTGTAGCATTTTGATCGCACAGAACCGGACCGCAGGCACAATGTGCCTTGCAATCCCATGCGGCAGATCGCATTGCGCCCAGAGGGCGTGGCTACGACGCCATTCGCTTGAATGGCCCGCCACGCCCCCTCGTGCCCCACTAAAATGTGAGCAGCCGCAATGCGAGGCAGTGCGTTCTGGCCAAAATCGGGCCGGAACGCACTGCATGTAGCGTGACTGATCCCTTAGGGAGAAGAAGTTATCCCTCTTCTCTTATCAACATGTGCCATGTCTGCTCATTTCCATCCTGGGCATCTGACTGGCCCCTAATATTGCCCTTCCCATATCAGTTCCATTATAGAGGAGATCACAAGAGACTGACACCAAGTCAGATTCAGGTGCTTACACTAATTGTGTTTAAATGTACATGTAATGTTTATTTAATGAATTCATAGATTTTTATTTATCTGCCCTGAGTTCCCTTTACCCTTATGCCTTGTGCAGTAATTTTACTTCACTGACTTGTATGGAATATGAATGTTTTGGTCTTTCATTGTTGCATTGTTTAATTAGCTGCATAGATCGTGTCCTCTACATTTAGTTCTGTTTAAGAGGTACATTGAGGAAAATGTTGCATCTTTAAACTGTAAATCTGGCCATAGACGCAACATGGTGGTTGAGTGGGTCTCCATTAACCAGTCCCATGTGTCAGGTGAGAATTATAAAGCCTGACATTGCAGGCCTTGTTCTGGAAATGCTAGTTGCCTGGCTGTCTGTGCCATGCAGCATTCTACTAATGACAGGTGTACTTTAATAAAAAGGTGTGACTGCTTTTATCATGTAGGCAGGCATATCTGTTCACTCACCAGAATCCCCCAGTGGCAGGTTATAGAAAGGTTATCAAATCCAAAATGTCCAAAAGACTACTTTAGTTGTCTTTCTGCTGCAGTGTAACTAACACTTCCTGCTAACACCAATGTCTTCAGCCCTGTGTACACTTCCTTAAAGGAGAACTATGAGGTGAGTGATTTTCACTCATCCTCATAGTTCTAGGCGACCTGTGACAATGAAACTGTCACATGTCGGCTCAGTAGATCGGGAGGTGAGCGAACACATACCGGCGCCCGCTCACTTCGCGATCTTGTCACGACAGAGAGCCGTGACAGGTGAGGGACTGGATTCCCCCCTCCCCGCTCCGATCCTCCAGCGCTGACTGGTGGAACGGACGGGGAGGGGGCGGGTACAGCTGGCTCTGCCTCTAGATAGGCAGAGCCAGCTGTCACTCACGCAGCTGGGCGGATCCAGACATAAATGTTGGGATCCGCTCCGGCTGCGGCGTCTCAGTATACCGTGAGCTGTAGCTTGCGGTATACTGAGCTTTGGGTATACTGAGCTAGTTTGTGTCCTCCCGCTACCCGAAGGTGAAATATTGTGAAAGCCCTGATACCATAGTTCTCCTTTTAATTACAAAATGCAACTTGCAATGACCCTGTGGCCCTGATGGAACACTCACAGCCGCATTGTCATCACAGATTGGTTTGTGAATGACGTTGGTCTGTGGTGGCCACTCCTTTCCCCATTGATGGGCGGTGTGAAATGTATTTGTGACTTGTTATTGTAAATGGCCCCTCCTCCAGTTCTGATGAGTACAGTAAAAGCAGTCTGATCAGTTTACTTGACTCCACACCACCCATCAATGTCCATCAATGGGGAGAGGAGTGGCCAGCACAGACCAACATATTTAAGCTAGTTTAAAATGTTTACTGCAGGACGTCTTCACTTAAACAGTGTTTATGTGAGTGGAGGTCAGCTTTAACCTTTGGATACGTAAAGTGTTCTTTATGGTAAGAGCTGTAAAAATGTGGTGTCCTTCCTACTGGTTTTGTATATTGGGTAGATTGTGCTTTTAGAAATGTGGTGATACCTTTTAAACAATCTATACACTACTAATTTTAATAAGAAATAATTTTGTGGAGTGTTGAACCAGAGGCTTTACCCCATTGGGGTTCAGGAGCTTTCTTCCCTACAAGAACAAATGGAACCACACAATAGTTTTTTTGCCTGGATCAAAAACTGGTTAGGGTCCATTCACACAGTCAGAGGGCTGTACTTGCATTTGGTTATGTGCCTGAGAGGCATCAGGAGTCATGAGTGTTCCGTGCGGCCAGCATGCTCATACACAGACTGACAGATGCAGCTGCTGTACAGATGTTTCCACACATCAGTGCTTTACATCTGTACACAGACAGATTCATCACCCTGGATACAGACAGACTGTGTTCTGGGCCTCGCATCCGTCTCTGTACAGCTTTCATGTGGTGGAACATCTGTACAGCTGCTGCATTAAGTTTTGCTGGCTGCGGTTGTACAGAACACCTGCGACTCCCAGGCGCCTCTCAGGGCACAAGCGCAAACATGACCCTCTGTGGCCATGTAAATGAGCCATTAGGCTACGGATTTTCTTTTGTTACAAAATCATTGGACCTGGGGGTTTTTCTTCCCCAACCTAAATATGTAAGAGCATATTCTCTATATTCAATTAGACACATTTGGTGTTTTTTTTTTTTTGTTACATACTTTTTTTTAACATATTTTTTTTTCTTCTTCTTCACCTCAATTTTTGTGCGTCTTTGAACTTAGGTATCATTTATGATGTGATTGTGGAACCACCTAGTGTCGGATCCATGACAGATGAACATGGACACCAAAGACCGGTGGCTTTCTTGGCCTACAGGTGAGAACAGTAGATGTCTGAAATTGTATAAGTGGGTTTCTGGTTAACATTTGTAAAGGTAAACGTCCACAGTTAGGAAAGCGAAAGCTTGTTTATTGCACTTCTCTTCATACTCAGGAGTCTCAAGTGTTTTCAAGGATCTGTCAGCCTTGTTTTTTGTGGCTTTGTGGTGGTGACACTTACAGGATAAAGAAGCTGATGAGTTCCATGGGAAATGCCTTAGAATCACTATACATAGAGTCAAATATCATTTTGAATCTACACTTTCCAAACTCTTTTGGCTTTCAGAAAACCATGCTTGTTGACACAGTGTCAACAAGCATGGTTTTCTGAAAGCCAAAAGAGTTTGGCTTTCCCTATAAATATGATTTACTTGCTGCTAGAATATTCTGAAAACAAAGACAAAGCCGTGTTCTTTTTCAGGTTACTTACAGCACACATCCTAAGAGGCCTTGTCACTTCAGCCTGAGACAAATAGAATATGACATAAGCTACACTGTGGCCTGCCTCCTTCTTTGCTTCAGAGGAAGCTGTAAGCAAGCAAGTAAATAAATATGTAGCGCTCTCATTCTCCTGCTGAAAAAATGATCTGTTCAAAGTTAATATCACATCCAAATTGATAAATGGTAATTCATAAAAGAATATATCCAAAAATAGCTAAATAAATAATCAATAAGGTACAAAAAATATAAGTAAATAGTCCCAAACTGCTTGATAGTTGTTGTAAACAATCGCCTCGTGCCACACAGTCACCCCCTTAAGAGTGCACACTCACCACATAAAGATGGATGTATGCTCACAGCCAAAGGGCTCAGTTGTATGTCAGCAGGCTGCCCAGCGCTTTCTTTGTGTGTTTCCACAACGATGTCCCATAGGAGATGAAGTCCCCGCAATTATAAGAAAAAAGAGCCTCTCATTGCGTAGTAAATCAAGACTTAGTGTCTAGGTTGCAGCAGCTCTATTATGATTATTATTATTATTATTTATATACTATATATCCACTAATTGGATTGGAGGTTTTTCCTAAGCTCAGATTTGATTCTGTACTATATCAGAGGAAGCTGTGCCTGGCTTTCACTAGAGGGCACGTTTGGAGATCATATAGGGGCTTTTCATAGCATTCACAGGCTGTCCTAGAAAGGCTACATACAAGATGTGCAGTTATGTTTTAGTTGTTACATTCAATTCTTGCATGTGTTAAATGTTATATGTAAAATATATTGTGTGCACAGTTCACGAAACATTTTGTGAAAATCATGTAAATTATACATCATTTTGGTTTCCAGGATGTCTTTGTACTTTTCATCTATACATTGGAAATATCGTTTCCACTCCACTACTAAGTACATATTGTCTATCTACTGATGTAGGAGCCTGCTGTGCTGATATGGGCCCTGACCTAACTATGGTGCATTTTGATACTGATTTGGCAGATACTGATTTGTCTGAATGTCCTCAGAGACCAACTTTATATTTGCTATAGTTTGAGTTTATGTAGATATGCACCCCCTTACAATAACTCCTGCTGTCCATTACACAATCCAGATTCTTGGCAAGTTTTATCTAAAATAAAATCTTCAACCCAACTACTGCACCACCTTGCCCATGGCCAAAGTAGCAGGTTCACGTTATAGGAGGAACGTTAAGCAGTCAGTACTAACCCTTTCTGTGGTCTACCATCTCCCCCCACTTCCCCCCAAGCAAGATTCCTTTTATAAGTTTTGAATTGCTGCTCTAGTTGAAACATGCACAGGTCTGTGCACGCCCCCCTGTCTCCATGTGACAGAGCATGGGCAGGTTCATTGGCTGCTCAGGTATTCATTTCTGCATCATAGGGCCACAGTGGGAGTGTCACATGTTAACTCTTATCCGGATGTACCAAATATTTTTTGTGGGGGCAACTGTGGAAAGCAAGTACTGACCACCTAAAGTGTCTCCCACTAAGGGAACCTGTTACTCTCTCCTGTGGATGAAGAACAGGTTCACTTCATGACTTGTTTTAACAACAAGGGAGGCATTAATATAAAATGGTGAGAAGTAGAATGTGTTCCCACTAGCAGCTTCCCGGCCTCTGTATAAAATAGAATAGAAGATGCTTGTTGGACAGACCTTATATTTTTATCATTTAGCTTCACTATGATTTATGTAGAGGTTTTTCAAGTGGTTCCTGTAATGTATGTTTTGAGTACAAGTTTGTAGAATACATTGCACTTTTAATGCTATGGGAAGATGTCTATAAACTTACCGATGTGATGTCTCCACAGGGTGAATGGCCAGTATATCATGGAAGGACTGGCATCAAGCTTCCTTTTTACCATGGGAGGTTTAGGATTCATTATCCTGGATCGATCCAATGCACCAAATATTCCAAAGCTGAACAGATTCTTGCTGCTTTTTATTGGATTTGTTTGTGTTCTGCTCAGTTTCTTCATGGCAAGAGTCTTCATGAGGATGAAGCTGCCGTAAGTTTTCAGCTACTTGCATCATGTTACCAGAAGATGAATGTCCTGTTTTAGTCTGTCTACCTTTCGCCAGTGTTTACCATTCTCATGGCCTGCCAGTAGTCCATACTTTGTAGTTTCTTTCAGGCTAGGTTCACACCTGCACTACACCGCACAACACCCGGGACACGCGTCCCAGGATCGCACGGTCCTGCACAATGTAGGCAGTGATTGCCACGCAGCTCCATTGATTTCAATGGGGTGACATCCGCTCTGCAATTGCAGAAAAAGGTACAAGTTCCGATACACGACACGCGGATGCCCGGCACGACTGGGGTGCCTTTAGAAAATAATCGTGTCCAGGTGCACACAGCGATTGCCGCACGGCCCCATTGATATCAGTGGGGTGACATCCCCGCGGCAGTCGCTAACTCACTGCTTTTTTAGCGCGATCCGCCAGGTGCGACTGGGGTGCCATTATAAAATAATGGCACACACAGCACGATCGGTTCACACCTTGGCGGCAATCGTGCACAAAACAACATGGATTGCCGCACGGTCAGGAGTCGCCTAGGTGTGAACCTAGCCTCACAGGTAAGGGGTGTGCATGTATGTATATTGATGTATATTTTTGTATAATACATACATACACTGAACTCCCAGTTATCCGGCACCCACGAGGATCGATAGGTTCTGGATAACTGTATTTTCTGGTTGATTAAGAGTTAATAATAACTCTAAGTGAAGCTATAGTTTGGGACTGACCATTTTTACATGTTTACTTTATTATAAGGCAGGCTTTTGGAGCATGAAATGTTCCTATTTAGTTCATGTACACACGGACTCTAGCTTGTATTAGCGTATACATCAAACTTCTGCAACGCATTTGCAAAGACAGCTTTGTTGAAGCTTTTAATGCACGCTTCAGCCCCAGTTTGAGGATGGTAAACACAGATAAACATTTAAGTGCTGGCTGGCACTTTAAATGAGCTGCTAGTAGGCTTCAGCAGGCTTTAATCAAGTTTTTGAAGCTTGATTTACTAAAGTAGTGCTGCAATTTACTGAAACCTACTAGCAGATTGCTTCAAGCAAGCACTCCCATTAAGACCTGTGTTTCGCAAACTGGAGCTGTAAATCAAAGTCTTCCAAAGTGATGCTGAAGGGTTTGCAAATGCTTTGTTGCTTGTAATAGTACACACTGTTCTTAAACAAACTGAAGCCTCTGTGAATAAGACCTTGAAAGTTCATTTGTAATGGAAGGGACATTTGCTTCTGTTAATTAAAACACTTTGAATGTCATGCTGGTACCTCACAGAAGCACATTGTATGTGTGCGGTGGATTTTGCTTGCAAGCTCTTGGCTTCAAGTTTACCTACTCCATCAATGCCAAATTATTTATGTAGTTTGTTTTCTTTCTTTCTTTTTCTTTCTTACAGAGGATACTTGATGAGCTGAGAGAGTCATTTTATCAGCACTTTGCAGTTTAATGGCAGTAATGATGGGAAGGAATGGAATCTCCACACTGTAAAAAGATGTAGAAATTGTGTGCAAGTAACAAACGATAACAAGGGTTACCAACAACAACAACATATTTTTGTATTTTTTTTTTCCACTGCATTCTCTCCTTCTTTGGTTCAGAATAAAACTTTTTGTTTTGGTAGTTTGGTGTTTTTCTATATGCTTCCATAGTGGTTTTGGGGCACAATACATGGCTTGGGAAAGGTATATATGGGGTTCAGGAACAGTCTCAAGGTGGTGATTAAACAGCAGCTGGTGTTCCCCACCTGTCCGTACAAGGACAGCCATTCTAGTCTTCTGACCTGGAGCCAGAAGTTTGAACAATGCATGCCGGAACCCAGAATAAGCTTTATGAAACATTACTTTTCTTCATATCCATGACAGTTTAGGGCACGCTGACTACTCCTTTATCTCATCTTTGCCTTAAAATGTATTCCTTCCTTCAAAACAGGGTCCTGAGCTATTCCCAACCTGAATAGGTTGCCGCACACATCCTGCTGCATGACACTTAGAATAACAATCCTATTTCTCTGTAGCCTGGCTGCCAAGGTAATACTTTGAGAACTGTAGTTCTCAGCACTATTCTACCTATTTCATGCCCTCTCTCCTCCCTAGCACATTCCCGTCAGAGCACCACAGGCTGTGTAAAAAGAGGAACGTAGAGAAATGTAGTCTCAGCTGGGGAGCCAAGATTACATTCCCCGAAAATAAGACACTGTCTTATTTTATTTTTTTGCCCAAAAAGACACACTATGTCTTATTTTCAGGGGATGTCTTATTATTTTTTTTATGTGCAACAAAATGGTCAGTATCAGTAATGCTGATTCTTTCTTTCACTTTTTACAGGCGGAGTGCATCTGGTATCACTCCGCCTGTCACCCTAACCGGCGCTATAGAGGAAGTATCGGATAATGCGGCTCTGCTCCCTCCGCAGCCTTGCTTTCTACAGAGCCGGCTTCCTTTGCTATCAGGGACAGCGGTACCAGCGGTGGGGACATCAACAGTGGACAGCGTACCATTTACCGGTACACGTTACAGTACTGTACCATTACATTAAGCAATGCCTTCAGGGGAACAGCAGTTGGTGATGTATGGTACTGGAGTGCTCCCTGTCACTGCGCTTGCTAGAGGGAGTCCCCTGTCATCCCTTAATACAGTATGTCCCTGCAGGCCGATGTTCTCCCTCACATGCTACCACCAAACTAGGTCTTATTTTCAGGGTAGGTCTTATATTGCAGCAATCTTGAAAAATACTGCTAGGTCTTACTTTCGGGGTAGGTCTTATTTTCGGGGAAACAGGGTAGTGGTGAGTAGGGTTGAGTGTGGTTTTAGACCAAAACCCGAGCTCATCTTTACCCAGGAGGAAGCTGCCAGTGGATTCATTATGCCCACTCCTCTCTGCCATCAGAATGTTACAGTTCTCTATAAGACGTGTTCTGAAGGGGAACAGGTGGAGAACTATAGTGTTTCCTTCCACCCCTAACACACCCTTTTTCTGTCTGTCCATGTTCTACCTCCTATTTTCTGCATCCCTCGCCATCCCGTAAGCTTGAGAGCTCTTTATGGATATGACTCAATGGGACACACGTGGGCCCTGTAATATACAGTAGCTCTTTATTGTATGCTGGTAACTACCTATATGACTCTAACTTTGCTAAAGTTTATTTACAAAACATGAATTAAAAATAAGTGTGATTTCATTTCTTAAGAAAAGTTATCAATAAAGAGGTGAATGGGGGCTTGTTTGTAATATGTTCATTTAGTGTGCATGATCTGGGCACAGGTTCATCTTCACCACTCAACAGTTTGCATACAAGCTTTCTAGTTAAGTCTTGTCTTGGATGTGTCAATACATTACAATAAGTTTTAATTAACGTTTTAAAGTATTCAGAACACAACACATACCATTAACATATGATGTGCAACAAAAGGGCAAATGAATAAACCCCATCACGCTGACCCAAGACAGGGTCTGCTGGCATACTGGAACCATATATATCAAAAGGGTAAACATATGTTAGCAGCAGATATGTTGAGCAGTGTCCAGAGAAATGCATAGGTAAAAAATAAGTCAAGGCAAGTGGACTTGCTGTATATTTCTTGAAGACGTTTCACTGGACACCCGACCAGCTTTCTCAATTCAGAATGAGAACCTTCACAGACGTATGCATAGGGAACATATTACATAATTCTTTACATATTTATGACTCACTTGTGTCACTCCTGGTTGCTATAATTGAACAATCCCTTTACCATAGTAAAAGTAAAAAGCTGGGGCTGAGTGTTAGGGACAAATTTGTAAGAAATGTTGTGTGGTATTGGGGGGCAGGGAGTATGGCCAGGGAGCGGCATTTTAGGTATGCATGTTATTTGACAAAAATGCTGGGGTAGGGAAATGGCTCCATGGAGTGCTCTACAAATGAACCTCAACTTTAATGTATTGCTAAGGGCTTGCTCACCAAATGCAGAGCAGATCTTGCGTTTCTGCACACGCATACATATGCGCTTTGGACGCGTTCAGGTGCAGGTTTTTTTTAGCCCCTAAAATGGGCTTACAGGGCGTTTGCATGCGTTCCATAGGGCTTGCTGCAGTTTCTTTTTACATGCTCTGGAACTGAACGCTGCGGTGTGAACTAGAGCCCAAAATACCATTGGAATACATTAGATGTGTTGTTTATGCATTCTGTTACTCCTCTGCATCTGGAACGCATTTGGTGTGAACTAGCCCTTCATGCAGTTACAAAAACAATCACTATCCCTGGATAAACAATCGTGTATCCAGGGATAGTGATTGATTCCTAACTGCATGTAATCCTTTCCCATATGATTACATGTGGTGTGCAGGCATGTACATGCAGCGGCTGTCACCTGATCATTAATTTGAATCGGCGACAGTTGCCGCTTGTAACATGTGCATACATTAAAACTGGTACGTATATATAGTAGCGGCCCCCACGGGACTAAAAATGTTGTCCAGTGGCGCCCGACTAAATTGAGTTTGAGACCCCTGCCGTACATAGTACCTTAACTAATAACAAAATTGTATCTTATTTGTGTATCCCTCAGCTGTAGATCCTCAAACCATTTTGTGCTGACACTGTCCTTCCTTCTGGAGGGTGACTACTTTGTTCCTCATGATCCCTGTGTGTGTTGTAATGTAGCCACTGCTCCAAGCTCGTTCCCGTGATGGACTACAATCTCAATACAAATTAGTAAACTAAACATGAGACTGTAGTCCATCACGGGAGCGAGCATGGACTGGTGGCTACTTTACAACACGCACAGGGACCATGGGGAACAAAAGTAGCCACCCTCCAGAAGGAAGGACAATGTCGGCACCAATTTAGAGAAGATTTGAGGATCTACAGCCGAGTGATATACAAATAAGATACATTTTTATTATTAGTTAAGTTACTTCAATGCAATTTTTAATTTAACTGCTGAGTTTAATGTGACTTTAAGGGACTTAAGACTAGATTATGTAAAATATCATTTTTACTGGCGTTATTACAACTCAAACTTTAACACATCTACTATAACAAATTCTCATTAGGTGCCAGAATGGCACCTTGTCAAGGAAAATTCAGTAGGAGATTTTATCCGTGTGAAAGATGTTTTCCTCAGAACAGATGATGAATGTATGAAAAATATAATGTTGATAATATGAAGATAAAGAGAAGACAAGTAAAAACAAAGTCTTTCATTGTTTGCTGAAAATGTGCATTTGTATTCATCAGGCAGAGGAGCTCTGTGTTCCCTTATTACCATTATTAGTTTTTTGTTAGATCTCTGCTCCCTTTCGTTAACAATGTGAGTACCAGGTTGTCTTGGCAGCATTTTGGCAGAAAATTGGAATTAAAATTTTAGTCAATGATTCTGCTGCACTTAATTAGAGAACATGATGTCAAAAAGAAGACCTGTAGTTGTATCATAGTTCTTACCTCCCTAAGGAATTTCTGCAAGAATGAATCATGTGATCTGATATTAAAACCAGACTTGTTAAATAACCCGTAGATTGAACCAATGAGAGGATAGAAACATGCTAGCTCTAATCACTGACTTTCTAAAGGTGGAGGCTCCAGGGCTCTTAAACCTATCCTGGCTCCATTACAGAGTCATTAATCTGGAACAAATATGCACACAATCTGAAGGGTTTAAACTGCTGTCCTGCATGCTTTTCCCTGGATGATATCTGAGCAGACATGACTCTTCTTCTGGAGAGAAAAGCAGAAGAGGGCATTGTCAGAGGTAGTACTGTAATCTTTGTAAGAGGTAATAAAAAATGATGAATGTTGCACTAACATATTACTTAGTATGCAAGCACTTAAAGCATATTTCAACTAAAAAAATGTAACATGTTTGTCCAGCCTGTGACAAACAATGGCTCCCCCCGTAGAGAAAATAGAGGATTGAGTGTAGCCACAAAGGGACAGGAAGTGTGTTATTTGAAGGACTACAAGGGAAAAATAAAGGAAAATTGCCTGGTTTGTTCACACTATATCCATTGAGCTGTATTTTTTATTATTATTATTATTATTGGTATTTATCCAGCACCAATAATGCAATGCTTTACATAGTTGCACATTCACATCAGTCCCTGCTCTAGGAGCTTTCAATCTAAGGTCACTATATCACATGTATACATACAGGGCCAATTTAATCTACCATCATGTCTTTGGAATGTGGGAGGAAACCCACGCAAGCACAGGGAGAACATGTAAACTCCTTGCAGATAGTGGCCCCAGTCTCCTCTGGCCAGGATTTGAACTATAACATTCTGCATTGCAGCAATGGCCCTCAATTGCTGCAAGGCAGGAGTGCTGACCACTACACCAATGCGCTGCCCGGTTTTCTGCACAACACCACTCATGTATAGTATGAACTGGGCACATAGAAAATAATAGTTTTTTTGGTGTGAGCAAGCCCTCAAGGACTGGTAAACTAATGCATTACATCTTGAAAAATATATGTCATCTTGAAAAATTTCATCATTCTGCGACTACTGGCAAACTCGTAGCAAACACATGGGCCTGGAGCCATT